CCTTCTATTTAGCCAAATCAATTCACATTGATTTTCAACCTGTGTTAGCAATATTCTTTAAATGTATGTAACTCTGTTAGAAACCAAGATTCGACAAATATCTATCAAACAACAATTTTTGTTATCTCTCTCTTAAACTCTTTATGGGAAATGGTAGTACTGAGATCATATAAAAAACTTTTGACAAAATTTTTATTAAACGTTTATCAATTTCAAACATTCTATGTATACCCTATATTTTTTTCAATACTTAACAATAATCATGGAATCATATTAAATGCCTTTTTACAAATTTGAGACATTTGCAAAAATATATTTTAAATCCCATGCATGCTTTCTCTCCAAATTCCTTTAAGCGAAATGATAGAAATGGAATCTTAAAAAATAAACTAATCAAAAATTCAAATATTCCAATATATTTTCTGTGATCTCTATTGAAATTGCTCGTGAGCAGTGACAAAAATGGGATCATATAAATAAAGAAAAATGTTTCCCAGTTGTATCTGAAACTCTCTCAATTCACTAATTATATGCGACAAGAGTATTTTGTGTGCGGTCTACATTGAATACTTGATTTTTTTCCTTGTTTGTTCAGTTCTGTTTTGTTCCGTTTCGCTCTTGCCTGATTACGACACTTGATGGCGTGCACGCTTTAGATACGAGATCCGCTCTCCCTCTCATGTTTACTACGTGCCTTCAATCCTCTGCTCTCTGTGCCCCTGTCGCGTCTGCTCTTATCTTGACCTTATCAACTAGTTGCTTAATTTCGTAGCTGATTCTGTTGCCGTCAGCACCGACGAAGACCCTAAATGGCTTCAACGCATGATTATTGATTGATATAGAATATAATTTCAATTTACAACGTTATTATCGCCGTTTATTGGCCCTTATCAGTGGGCGCCGCGACATAATGTCTGGTACTAGCAGCTGCTGCTGTCTGTATTGCTCTGGCCACAATTCCGAATGGGTCATTCATCATTTTGGCTTACCTGTGTAACTGAGCTAAGTGCCTCCTATTCAGCATTATAAGAATCTACAAATGAACATGGGTATTACGAATTTGCTGCAATTAAATTATTGAAGAAATTTAAAGCACAGTTTTCCAGCAACCCGCTCGACTAATATTTCAAATCTACCCGCATTAGCCGATGGCAAACAAAAGAGTTTTATATTTTTCATATTTCCAAAATTGCCGAACTTAAATTATCATTAAGTACCCATAATTGTGCGAAAAGCGTGAAATATAGATCCTTAGATTATTCTCAAACTTAAGCCCGAAATCGTACACGCCAAATCCGTAATATCAATTTTCAGCAATTAGGCATGGATTTTGCGAAAAGTGTGATATACGTCACTTCGGAACTGATTTCTAAAACCGATTTAATGGTAAACAAAAAAGTTTCATGATTTTCTAAAACTTTCGAGTGGATTTTCGTGCACTCTAATTATGAAAGGCAACTGGAATAAAACTTGTTTCTTAGTTCCTTCGATTTGTACGTTGATCGACAATCATTCAGTCAATCAGCACAAGCAGAGTTTTATACTTAAATCGAAATAAACACACAGTAAATAAATCATGCATAATACGTAATACTGACTGTAGAACATATATCTAACACTCTGAACAGTTTGATCAAATTTTTGGAATTTTTCAAATGATATATAGTGGCGCATAAAGATAAGTCTAGATTGGCATTGATGAATGAATGGATAAATCAATAAAATATTAATTGGAAATCAATAATAAATAGTTTATTTAGGAAATAGTCGTTCGTCGTATTATTGCCTAATTTGACTGCCATTTTGTATACTGAATAATTTGTTGATCGACAATCCAATTTGAAATGATAAGATTAGCAGGTAATTGAAAAGATTTGTGGCCAAGTGCACGGCATTATCTTATTACAACAAATACGAGCCGAACAGCTCCAAGTATTCGACACTCTATACACAATTCAATATTTTTGCATGTCATTCAATACGACAATCTGATAGACAAGTATTTACAGCAACTAATTGAACCCAAATATACCCCAGACGTTGCTATTTTCAGCTGATTAGGCAGCAGTTTTTGTGGCTGCCAAAACTTTTGGTTGTTGACTTCTGTCCAGGGCGCGCGCCTCCTCCAATGTCGTGGGCAGCACTTTATTGGAAGTTTCAGGAAAAAAGAAGCTCAGCACCGAACTGAGAATGCCAAATGCGGCGAACAGCAAATGTGGCGCATATTTGTAATAGTAGATCTAAAAAGAAATATCATGTTTAAGAAGGCATCAGCCGATTGTCAATTGTCACACGCACCAAAAGCGGCGTCTGTGGCGCCAGCATGGAGCCAAAACGACCCACCATCGAACAAAAGGAGAGCATACTGTTGCGGCAGCTGGTCGGAAATATTTCGGAGGTAAAGAAATACAGTGTCATAAAACTGCCCGTTGAGCACATTTTGGCCAGAAAGTACAGATACCAAGACAATGTGGAATAATCTATAATTAAAGGAAATATTAAGCTACATCTTATAAGCACTTGAATCAAAAGTAACAGCAATGCAAAACCAATAAAAATAGGCTACACTCGTACCGACTCTATTATCATTGATAAATTGCAGGCTCTAACCGGTTCGAAGCGTGTTTGCAGTCTTGACAAGTAAATGCACAACTAAGCCTTTGCGACTGGAACTCACCGTTGTCCAGAAGTGCCATCACAATAAGTAATAAGGAACAGGTGCTCAGAGAGAGACTCAAGGCCCAACGCCTGCCAATGCGATGCATCAGCAGGGTGGCAACCAAAATGCCCGGCAGTTGCATTAATCCCGCCATGCTAAAGTTATCAAACTTGTTGCCTTTCAATTCAGTTGCGTTCAGACTGAGGCCCAGGGCTATAAACGTGTTGCTGAACCATAGAAAGCAGCACTGAGCGATGCGCAGGGCGAGTGCGCTGAAAATTTGATGGACAGTGTAGTGACCACCAGATGTCTCGGATTCGGCCAGCAACTGGCGATTCATGCAGACCATTTCACTTAGCTGAGTTTCAGGCAAGGCGCGTTTATTAACACGCGCCACCTTGCGCAGTATCTGAACGGCCTCCATTTCCCTCGATTGGCTCAGCAGCCAGCGTACGCTCTCGGGTATATAACAGATGAAGAGCAGATGCAGGAGTGCCGGTGTGTAGAGCACGCGTAGCAGCACACGCCAGTCAAGAATTAAGCTGGCCAGATAGCCCATTGCCGCCTCTGCCAGGCCGTAGGTCAAACTGATGACCATGGCGGCCACAACGCGATGCTTGGGCCCGACCAGCTCGATAGCCAGCAGAAAGGCGGTGGGAAATAGTGTGCTGCCCACCGCCATATCCAGAAACTCAAAGAACAAAAAACTGTAATACTCGGGCGCATGGGAACGTGCGAGGCCTGCCAGAGCGCTCAGAACGCCTGTCACCACAAGCATTGCCTTGCGTCCATAGCTTCAATTGAAAAAATATCATTGAAGGCGTTTTTTTAAAAAATTTATTTAGGTATAATGACTCACCGATCCGCTAAATAACCGCCCAGGGGTATGCCCACGAACTGGCCAATGTTGTTCACCGTGCCCACCATGGAAAGTTTCCATTTATCGGAGCAAAAAATGCCAAACTGCAAACCAAAAGGTGTAATTGAATATATAAATATTTAAATTAGTAGCTTAGAAGTTGAGCCCTAATTCAATTGTTGTTCGCTCATGGTCTAAGCAGGTCGCTGGTTCAAATTCAGTGAGAATTTTTAATGCATATATTCAATTTGCAAAAATCTAATAATGCTGCTGGTAAATTGAGGCACTTTGTAACTGATGTTGGCGCATTTGAGCCCACTCACGCCGGGTGATTTCTTCTAATTTTTGTGCGATTATACGAGTATATATAATATATAATTGTGTAACCAAACCCAGTCTCTGATTCTTGATATGCCAAGCTATTAAATATTTAGCTCATTTATATTTTAAAATAACTACGCAAAGCTGAAAGATCTCACTATCGAATTTTTGCCTCAAGCAATTCCTATATCTGTTATACGAATCCTTAAAGTTTAGCTTTACTTTACTTCTACTCCTTTTCTTACGATGCCTCCAGATTGCAACGTCATAATTATGTATCTTTTAAGGATGAATATTTTTTCTCAACTATTCAAAGATAACTTCACAAAGTTCAACTTACCTCTGAGGCAATGGTTTCCTCGTCACCCCGCAGCTTATAGCCCGCTTCGCAGCTGACGGGCTGACTGCTATTGAAATGATGCTCCTCACAGAGGGCTTCGTTTGCCGGCGTTGCCTCAAATTGGTTACACTGATCCCATGCTCCATTGTGCTGAGGTATCGTAAAGTTCAGCCAGGGCTCAATAAAGCTGCTATTGGGAGTATCACACTGACTGATGTTGCATCTAGAATAAGGTTTATTTAGGATTTAGCTAAGTGGACAGCTAGTCACTTACCTGTGCACCACAGGGCTGGCCGTAAACACGTAGGATATAGAGTAGAAGGCATTGCATACGATGGGCAGGCTGAGCATTATATAGTTGAGTATCTGAAAGCGTCCGAATTGCCCAATGCGAATGATGAGCGCATCCAGATGATTGTGCTGCTGGGACGCTGCATCCGCTGCCTTTTCCTCAGTCGTCTCTGAATTGAACTGCGCTTCTCCCATGCTTCAGTCTGAGACGTCTCTAGGCAACTGAATTGCTCCGTACCACGGCGAGAAACTAGGCGCGCAAAGCGCTTATTTAATTGACCGCATTATGCATGCCACCCAGCGTATTGGGGGTGGGCCGTTGGCGGGGTTCTGCTGCTCCACAAGTTTTTCACACGTTTTCAATTACCGTCGTCAGACAGCTGCAAAAGCGTGTCGCAGCTTCTGAGACTTAATTGCTGGCTACAAATATTTTAGGCACTGCAGCTCAGCTGAGCTTAGCTTCAATGCAGTTCTAGCAGAAGTGCGGAGCTAACGAACTCACCAGCTGTATAAAAGAATTCAATGGGCTCTTTATTATACAATTTATGTTCTTTTATTGTTAAACTTTATGAAAGAATTTAAAAAATATCACTTGATGTTGGAGTGTCTGTGTGTTTATGTGTTTAATATATAGAGAGGCTGTTTAGCTAAAAGTACAAATACAATAATATCATATTTAAGATTACTAAAGCTTACTCGAACTGAGAACTTAGAATGTACGTAAAGCAAGTGCCAGAGAACAAGCAATTTACTCAAGAGTTTCTTCTTAATAACAGTTTTGTTTTGTTTTCTTTTTTGTTATTTTTCATTTATTTATTTTTCTGCCGTTTAACTGGTTTCAGGCGTGCTACTAGCGAATACTGCATAAAAGTGCCTACTTTTAATATACAACCTACAAAAGTTAGTCGTAAATCTTTTTTTTAAAAACCACAATTATAAATACCAATCGAAATGTTGCGTTTGTGTCTAACAAAAAATATCAATAAATAGTACCTCGCTAGAGAGGCTGCCATAACTAAACTCATATAACTACGTATATATAGTGCTATATATATATATATATAAATTAATAAACTGATACAGTATAAAGTTGCGACAGTCGACCGCAACTACAACGTTCTGTTCTAAACCTCTAGTTAATATCAATCAATCTTCTGAATTTGCAATATGATAAGTTTTCAACTAGTTAAAAGAGGAATGATCCAAACAATCTAGACCGCAATCCGGACTGTTTACAGATTATACATAGGATTGCTGGTGGCATCGAACAGCTGAGTGCCCGTCGACTCAATCATGGAGCGCAGCGCAATGCTGCGCTGTTTGGCCACAGCCTTACGCAATGTCAGCTCAAACACATTGTCCTCATCAATGTTGTCCATGGGCAAATGCTGGCGGCTGTCCGCTGGCTGTTCGGGTGTCTGGAACACCAATTGTTCGTGCTCGTACAATACGCATGTTTCGGCAAATTCCTTGGCAAAGTATTGTGCTGTATTACGGTTTTGTATGACCTCGCTGGGAAAGCATTGCAGCAGCTCCTCGAAGCTCAGCTCCGCTACCAGATTGTTGAGTATTTCTGCGTGAGATATTAGTTTTAACATTTGTTAACTAACTTAAGAGCAATTAATCTACTCTGACAAACCTGCAATATGTGTCTTCCAATTGGGCAGCGCTTCCTGCTTGCTAAGTATCTTGCGCAGCAAAGACTCCCAATGCTTGGGCGTAAATCCACAGGACTGTAAGCAGAAACAGGCTCAATGAGTTTAAAGATATAGTTTATAAGAAGCAAATCATCATTACCTTGCCATACTGCCACAGGAAGGCAGGACAAAAACTCAACATATAATTGATAGCCAAATTTTTAGGCAATATTATGACCAAGAAGCTATCTATGCCCATTAAGTGGGGCGATTTCTGTATGAAAGCCAAAAACTCTGAAATAATCTCCCGATCCACCTTGCTGGAGGCCAGTAGACTTTGAATCTTAAGCGTCAGCGTCAAGAGCTCGTTGTGCCAGCCTGTGAAGCGCACCTCGAACTCGCCTTCGTCCTTTTTGGGATAACTAAAATCGCTGCGCTCAAAAGGTGGTAAACGGTTCAAGTATTGGGGTCGTTCCAGCAAGCATGGTATGGGTCGTATATAGGCTTTGATATGCTGTTCAAATTCCTCGCCCTCGGCCAGTTTATAGTCGGGAATGTATGGTACAAAGATTAGCTTGTTTGATTGATTTGGTTCGCTCGCCTGGCGTACGCTCGGCTTGCTGCAGTAATTAGGCGCCATGCCAACCATATATGCAATGCATTCCATTCGCAGATTCAAGAATTCCTCGCGGCCGCTTTGCTGTTCGACATCGGCGGATTGCAGATCGGTAATGAGATCGCTCAGAGCCTTTAAGCGGCCCATATACATGCGAAAGAGTATTTTCAGGCCCTTCAGATTTGTGGCAGCCACATCGTCGTCGGGTTGCGGCTGCGAAAGTGAAGCGTTAGAGCTACGCTTTTGAAAGGGCGATCCGCCCTGTTGATCCTGCAACTGATCGTACACAATGCGCTGCTGGCGGCCACTTAACGAACGCTCATCGGGCGCGGAGCTGGCGCAAGAGCTAGACAAAGATTGGACATCCGCCTCACTGTGCAGAGAGGGTGCTCGCGAGCTGCTGCATTCATCATCGTAGTCATCGTCCAGCTGAGGCGGCGTTTGCGAGCGCACCTCATGCGGCTGCAGCGAAGAGCTCACATCGTACAGATCATAATAGTACACTTGCAATATGTTGACAAAGACCTTCTGCGAGGTCTGATAGCCCTTCTGGCCAATATGCGAGGCGATATAGTTGAGGAACAGCTGTAGCACCACATCCAGCTTAATGCTATGCTCAATGCACAGGGCGTGAATGAACGCATCGCTTATGGCTTCGATCAGTGCGGGCTGCTCATTGGCCAGCAGAATGGTCTCACAGAAATCCGAGAACGAAATAATGGCACTGAGCGTGGGCGTCGCTGCGCAGCCACCTGAAGACTTGCCCTTCGTTTGTGTGGCGCCGCGACGGGAACGTTTACGAGCCGTGAGCTGGGACTGCTGCTGCTCCGGTTGCTGTCGCCGCTGATAGAGCACTGTGCTGTCATCGAAGAGCACGTTCTTGTGCTTGATCAGCGCCACGGCCAAAGTGCGACGCGTGCACTTGGATATTATTTCCTGGGCCAGCAAATAGTTGGACATGCGACATGCAGTTACAGCCAACAGAAGAGTCTCATCGGGTGTGCTTAAATGAAATGTTAACACAATTAACTTGAGATTTGAATTTGCAACGCATTGCTTGCTTACAGCGTCGTCAAGTATTTCAGATAGTTGATTAACTCTCCGCTCATGGCATCGGCTACCACCGGCGAGCTAAGCATTATCTGTGGTATATCCGCAGGAGCATGTTTAATGAACATGTTGAGAAACTCCAGCGAGAGCGGCACCTGCTTATAGCCCTGCTGTAGCACCCGGGCGGGTGTAAAGTACGGTGCCACGGTCTGGTGTAGAAACGAAGACCTCAGACGATCTGTGCCCAGGCCAAGCAGAAACAGTTTAACGGTATAGATGAGTCCAGCCAGCTGCGCTGTTTCCACAGCCTGTTCGCTGTCCATAAACTCCTGAATATAGTTGTTGTAAATGTCCACCAATTGCAGCTGGCACATCTTGTAGAAACCAGTTGCTTGCAAATAAACCTCTTGTTTATGGGAGCTGTAAGGGGAAGACAATTGGGGAACATCTTTATAAAACACAGGAATCGGAGACTTTACTATGCACATCTGCAAATGTTATCTACAATGTTAAGTAAATCTTCTTGTGCAGAAACCCCTCTTACCGTATTGAAAAGTCGGCCAATTTTCGACAATTGGCGATAAACATTTTTCGCAACTCCTGTTCCCTGTCCACGCCAAAACGCTCGCCCTGCAGTGTGAGGCTGAGTCTAAGCATGACATGCGCCTCCTCCATGAGATCATAAAAGTTGGAGCTGCTTGCGCTGCGATACGATTCGGCAATGCCTTCGAGATCCTCGACAATGTGCTCCACCTTGGGCACCTCCAGATTATACAGCGTCCACTCGTTAACCACCGAGGACTGGACAGCACTGCTGCTTCTCAGCAAGCTGTTGTGCTTGGCCTTTGCCTCGGCCAAGAACCTGGCCGCAATGTTGCGCTTAACTGCTACCACGGCGACCTCGCCAGTGCTGCGACGCTTGTGCTGCTCGAGCGCTGTGTTTGTGATTAGGACGAGCTGCTCCCGGTTGACGCACACGAACTGCACATGCATAAAGGCGGCCAGGCCAATGACGGCAATGGCCGAGCTGACGTCTGGCGAGGACTCCTCCGGAAACAGACCGCCAATGCTCGGATACTCGAAACGATTATGAAACAGCTTGTGGCCGATGCGTGAGGTATGCGTTTCCACAGACTCCGAGGTGACCGCATAGACGACATAATCGTTTAAATGCACCTGCAGCACGGGCGCCGTAAAACTATAGCTGGCCACCGGCTTTTCGTTCTCGCTGTACCACTTGCCCTGGCCGCAGAACTGAAACAAATAGCCATCCACACTGCTGGCCACGAGCAGCGCATGGCCCACACAGCGCTGATGCTGCGAGGATTTGAGCGTGCGGCGATTTGCATGCTTGAATGTGGTGACAGCACTGGGCACCTGCTGGTTGCCCATGTCGTACTCGTCGTCCTCCTCCAGCTGCTGCTCGCTGCTGCGCTGGTATATGGCCTTTAGGTCCATGCAGCGCAGTATATCCAAGACCCGCGACTGCGGCTCCGATGTCCGCATGCATATCTGCAGCAGTTTGCGTATGTCGTACTGTACGGATACATCTTCCGTCGCACTGTTCCCGCCGGCACCAATGCCTCGCACATTCATGGCCTTCGCCTCGTTGATAAGCTTTATTTTGATGTCCGCGGCCCGTTGTGGCGTTATGGTTATCTCCTGTGTGCCATCTTCCTGGCCGACGCTGCGATTGCTACCATTCTCGCACTGATCCCACTGTGAATGCAGCTCGGGCTCGAATTCACGACCGTAGGCGGTGTTCACGAGTCGTGCCACATTGAAATCGAGAGGCGTGCGTCCAGCCAAGCCCGGACCGCTTACCAATGCTGGCTTGGCGCTGCTCGAGGATTGCAGTGAGTCGCTTTCGCAGCTCTGCTGGCTATGCGTGCTGCTGGCCGCCGCTGCGCTCGCTTTGCTACCCAAGCTCAGAGACTCGGACAGGGGCTCATCGCCCGCGTAATCGTTGTCCAGGCAGCTGTGCTCGTGCGCCGGCGCAGACGCTGTCGTCGTCTTGTTAGCCAGCGCGTCCACCACCTTGAAGGCCACACAATAGCGATGACTGAGGCAGGCGATGACGTTCTCGGCCAGACATAGGCGCAGCGGCACAAAGTTGAGCTGCACAAAGAATTTGAAGGGCAGAAAATCGATGAAGGAGAATCTCGGCTGGGTATTCTCGTGCACGCACTGCGTGTACTCATACAGATAGATGCGATCCCTGCTGCTCACAATGATGTTGCCCGACGTCTGGCAGCTTTGCACCAGGTCTGGCGGACTGCGCAGCGGCAGCTCAATCACATCAATGCTCTCCACCAGCGGCGTCTTAGGCGTTGTCATCGAGGCGATGCGTATTGTGATCGGCAGCTCGTTCAGCTTGGCATCGGGAAACTTCCAAAAGTTTGCATAGATACGCACAAACATCTTTGTATCATCCTCGGAGCAAACTGTGTTGCTATTGCTGCTCGATGTGCAGCTTATGCTGGTGCTATTCGAGTGCACCGGACTGCCGGCCTGCTCCTTTTCCAGGGTCAGAAGGTATTTGCCTGCATTAGAGTAAGGGAATATCATTAACAAATTTCGAGCATTTCAATTAAAAATCTAAATTTCACTTTTGAATCTTTATATACAAGACTATTTAAACTAACTTAATCTAAGCAAATATGTAAGCATATTCCACGCACAAGTGTGGGAAATTGGTGGAAACGTTTATTTTAAATCGTTTGATACATGTTTGCAGAAAATCTTCCGCTTCTCGTGGGAAATGGGCTGTTTGAACGAATTGAACGAATTTAATTGTAGACATATCTTTATTTTATGCTTATTTTAAGTTCTTGACAATATAAGGAAATTTATGTTTCAATTATGTTTATACTCAAAGAGTGAAATGCCCAAAAACTTTAATTGATTCAAATTTTTTATTTTAAATGATCATCGTAAAATTTGAGGCTTTAGATTTTAATTTCAAGCGGAAAAGTGATTCAAGCTAGAAGACCCTATAAGACCCTAGCTATATATAATATAAGTTGAATGCTTACCAGCCTCGCAATAGATTAGCTGCACCACCTCGCCGACCGTGGCCAATGTGTACCTGACGGGCATGCGTTCATCAATCGCTGGCGTCGGCGTTGGCGAAGCTGCATCTCCCGTGCCACCAGCCGCTGTCTGATCCTCCTGCATTGCATTGTCCTGCTGCTCCAATTGTGGCTGCTGCTGCTGCTGCTGCTGTTGCTTTCCGGCTATGTCATAGATCTCAATGAACTGCTCGGCGCTGCTGATGGCGATGCGATTGTTGCCAATTAGGGTGGCTGCCAGAATGTCGCCATTGAGAGCAAACGTCTGCTGCCTGGCAAAGTTGTAGGCCTGCAATATCTTCACCATGGCGACGCTCTCCTCACTGCAGGGGACAGAGCAAACGAACCACTTAAAAACAATCAAATCGAATGGAACACTGCACTGCGATACAACGCCCCAGTGACTTCATCGTCCGGCGTCCGACACAGACTATCTGGCCGTTCGAGCTCTGCGCTTGTGAATACCCCCAAAAGTGACGACGATGACAAGCGTCTGAGGGGCAAAGAATTAGTGTAGGGGGGGGGGAGTGCTGTCGGTCAAGTGGCTGTTGCTGTTCTCGTGGGCATGAGCCATTAGCATAATTGTGCGTTTATGCTGGAGACAGGGAGACAGAGGGACAGGGGAACAGACTGACTCTCGCGTAATTCTAATTGAGGGTTTGTCATCTTGGATTACCGCAAATTAATTTAAATGAATTTTAATAATTCATTTGACATACAAAAGCGGGCATCGTAGACGGGAATCTTTGGAAAAAAAACACCATTTTTATAATTAATTATTTATTCAAATTTAACTTTGAAATATTTTTAAATTTTCAACTTAAGCTTTCTTCTCAATTCAGAAAATGCCATTGTAGATATTCTAACTGAAACTCCTCATTTCGCAGATGCATGAAATAATTTACCATACCCCCCCTCCTTCTCTCTCTCCGCACCTGGCTAATAACTAACACAAATCGTTAAGTGATTTTTGATGGCATGACACATTAATAGAGGTCAGTGCTGCACCTGTCACTTCCTGTGCCGTTATTCCTTGAACCCCATTAATAATACAAAATTAGGTCACACTTATACACACACACACACGCACACACACACACACGCACGCACACACTATTAGCCTGGTCACATCGCTTGGCCAACAAATGCTGTCACAGTATTTGGGCATGCAATAAATTTAACTGCCGCTTGACTTGGGCTGGGCAGGCTCTACGTGCGCTTACCTAATTAAGCCATAAGTTGACACACGTAAAAAAAAACACTGGTTAAATCAAGGTAGTCAAGGAGTGAAACTTTTGAATATGACGCACCCATGACGCAAAGAAATGACCGGAAATATAACCAAGCACAACACGAAATATTCTATTTTTTACCGCTTTCCGTCTCTGCCTCAGGTCAAAACGCCAATCGATAATTGGTCTGGCAATAAATGCGAATGCGTGCATTAGGCCAAAACGAATCTATATGTATGTGTGTGTGTGTGTGTGTGTGTGTTTGGCGGGGGTGTTGGCGTTTGGCGCCCGTGTGTGTGTGTGTGTGTATTGCGGCGGTGCACTTGGAAGGCGGTATTTGAAAAAAATCAATAGCTCTGTGGTTTGCCAAAACTTTATGTAATAAGCCGCAACTAAATGAAATTGCATATAAATCTGCTATTGAGCTATTAACAAGTCAATTATCAATACAAGCAACAACAATTAAATACTTATTGCACTTCATTAGTTATTCAAACAAATTGTTCGTACATTATTGAACAGCGGAAGTCGCGTCGTTGGCTGCAAGCACCAGGCTGCGTGCCTATTTGACGCTTAGTTTATTCGTTCTGGCTAATTGTCCATTTTAAATTATTTTTAATGCACACACACAAATATTTATTTATGATTTTTAGTCGCAAATTCTCAATTGAACTTATTCGCCTGTTTACATTTTATTAATGGCAGCGTTGCCACCTGGGCAACAAAGCTGAATCCCATTGAAACAGCTGATTGCGCGATATGGTAACACTGCCTTCGCAACACACCCTATGCTTGTCCCGCTCGCACGCATGCTTGGCTGGTGCCGGCCGTTTGTTGCTCGCGATATTAAAGGCGCAATTTCCACAAGACGATGTGAAACCAAATTAAATTAAACTCAGAAAAAATCATGAGCAATTCAACGCGTGCCTTTGTTGGCATGCAAAACAAATACGACCGTGTTGTCCTGCTGGTGGACATGGATTGCTTTTTCTGCCAGGTCGAGGAGAAACAACAGCCCGAGTATCAAGGCAAGCCTCTGGCTGTGGTGCAATACAATCCTTGGCGCGGAGGCGGCATTATAGCTGTCAATTATGCGGCACGCGCCAAAGGCGTGACACGCCACATGCGCGGCGACGAGGCCAAGGAGCTGTGTCACGACATAATCCTCTGCCAGGTGCCCAACATTCGAGAAAAGGCGGATACGGGCAAATATCGAGATGCTGGCAAAGAGGTCGCAAATGTGCTGCAGCGTTTCACCAATCTGCTGGAACGCGCCTCCGTCGACGAGGCCTATCTGGACATTACAGAGACAGTCAATCAGCGCGTGGAGCAGCTGCAGGCGGTAGGTGTTTAAGCTTGTAACAAGATTATTGAAATGAAATGAATGTTTTCGCAGGGCTCCTTTGCTCTGAAGCCCCAGGAGCTGGTCAATTGCCATGCCGTTGGCTACGATAACATTGGCGACTATGTCAATAAGATAACAAATCGATTTGCCAATCCCTATGTCGACGATGAGCGTTACATGCTTGCCTACGATCCCAACGATTTGCCCGCTGTGCGCCAAAGCGACTTGCGTCTCTTGATCGGAGCCTGCATTGCGGGTGAAGTGCGTGCGGCGGTCAAGGCAGAGACTGGCTATGAATGCTCAGCGGGCATTGCACACAACAAAATACTCGCCAAGCTGGCGGCGGGCATGAATAAGCCCAACAAACAGACAATTCTACCGCTGGCGGAGATACCTGCGCTCTTTGACCAGCTGCCTGTGGGCAAGATCAAGGGTTTGGGTGGAAAATTCGGTGAGACGGTCTGTGAGACGCTGGGCGTTAAGTTTCTGGGCCAGGTGCTCAAATACAGCGAAAAGGAACTGCAACGCAAGCTGGACGAAAAGAATGGGTGAGATATCGGATTGGCAACTGGCTCGACTTAAATGTTACCAACTTGTAATGCCTTACAGCTCCTGGCTGCATAATATTGCACGTGGCATCGACTTGGAGGCGGTCACGCCCCGATTTTACTCCAAGAGCATTGGCTGCTGCAAGAAATTTCCCGGCCGCAACAACATAACAGGTCTCAAGACCCTCCAACACTGGCTAGGCGAGCTGGCCAGCGAGATGAACGATCGCCTGGAAAAGGATTTCATAGAAAATAATCGCAAGGCCAAGCAAATGGTTGTGCAGTATGTGCAGGACGTCGATGGCCAGGAGGTGGCCAGCTCCCGTTCGACGCCGATCAATCATTATGACCAGGAGACGCTGGCTAAGCAAGCCCTGGAGCTGATCAGGACCAATACGAAAACCTTTCTGCGTGCGGGCAGCGAGGCGGCACTCAATAATGCCATAAAATTTCTGGGCATCAGCGTGGGCAAATTCGAAACGGCATCCAGTGCGCAAAACAGCCTGCAAACCATGTTCGCCAATCAGGCGGCCAAAAAGCGTCGCATCAGCGTGGAGGATAGTGAAAGAGTGATAGAGAAATCGAGCCTGGCACAGAAGCCACAGAAGCAAACTGAAGAGGCCAAAATGAAGAGTTTCTTTGCCAATTACTTGCAAGCGCACAAAGATGAACAAAATGTCAAGGATAATTTGGAAACGAATGTAAATCCATCAGAAATGAATGCAAAACCAGCAACTGAGCCAGAAGAGCCTCCTGCAGAAACGAGGCCCCCAAATGCAGCATTGTCACCGAAGAAAAGTTTCTTTGAAGCCTACAAGCGCAAGTTGATTGATGCCACTGTGGCAGAAGAGTCCAGCGACGACAAGGCAACGCCTACTGCCACACCGCCTGAATTCAAGGAAAGCTTCTTTGCCAATTATCTGCAACAGCAAAAGGAAGTTAGCAAAAATGTGGAGCAAAAAAATGAGTCTGCAGCTGATAACAGCGATTCATCTGACATGCAGGGCTTGGCCGCAGAACTGGATGAGATAGAACTAAGCAGCACAAATCTACAACAACAAGCTCCTGAACGGCCCTCCACATCAAAGCGTAAATTAGAGCATGAAAATTCCATGAAAGCCGCGACGAGCAACGACTTTACAAGCACTTATGCGGAGTACGCACAGCCCGAGCTGCGTGCAGATCTTATTAGATTGGTCAAGTGCGATGAGTGTGGCGTGCAAATACCAGACGATGTTAAGGCATTGCAAACCCATCGGGATCATCACTATGCGCAGCAACTAAGCCGTCAACTGCGCGTTGAACAGCGCGAGGAAATGCAACGTAGTCGCCTAAATGATACAACTGCGTCGGTTGTCTCACCCACGACAAAGCCAGTGCCAGCGAAGAAAGGTAAAAAGGTGGGCGGAACCGCCGTAACAACGGTCCCGAAGCCCATCAACAGCATTACCAAATTTTTGGCACCCAAGCAGTCGCTGGAGCCGCCGCCCAGCTGCAGCAATTCACCCATGGAGATCTGCGCCGAGTGCAAAACGTACATTAAAACTGTGGATATGCCGGAGCACTTGGATTTCCATATGGCCAAAAAGCTACAGCGTGAACTCAACCAACTGGAGGTGCGCACAATAAATACCTCAACGAACAAGAAGACAACATCGCCTGCTGCCAAGAAGCAGCTAAACAGTACCTTAAATTCTACAGCCGCGAATAATTCCATTACCAAGTTTTTTACCCAAAGTAGTTGATGCTAACTTAAAAGTTTGCTACTTCAAAATGGAATAACGAGATTTTTTTTTTGAGCCTTAAGAAATAATCAGTTAAGCTTGCAAAGTTTAGTATTAATGAAAGTATTATAACAATAACTAAGTAACTGTGTCTGTAACTCCAAACGTATACATAAGAGTATTATGTTGCTCTTTAAAACAGCCATATTTACCGCTCCTTGTGCCATTATGAGGCAGTTATCCTTGCTACCCGAGCTACCAACATTTATATTCTTGATTATTTTATACAATGTCTAAACATTTTCATAATAAGTTGTTGCCAAAAAGTGATCGCTTCTGATATCATAATTTGTAGAGCTCTGTTGATTTAAAATAATGCATTTGAGTTTATAAAAGCTAATATTTTGTGGTACTTGTGGGTCCATGAACAATACACATCGCCTTTTAGGTGTAAAAATAAAAATCTATTAAGAGCTGCTGCAATAATGCGTCTAATAATTGAAGGTAAAACCTTATGTTTATTTTTCTACGCGGTTTCTGCTAAACACCAAACCAGTTTCATTTAAGCAAACTATTAAAATATGCTAAAATATACCCTTTCAGACTCCTCCGGGTCAGCAGCTCCTAAAGAAAAAACATGAGCGTTAAATTGCGAGTGACTCAAGCGGAAGAAAAAACCCGGCGCACAGAAAATTAGCAAGCAATCAAAATTCGAGTGAGATCGATGCGACACATTGGCAAGCATACACATCCACACAAACAGGTGCAGAGATGCGCCGAAGCCAGAGATAAGCAGGCAGACACCTGTTCGTGTGGATGTTCGCTGTCATTTACGTTCTCATGCGCTCACGACTTTTTCGACGCTGATCGCTGATTGGTCCAACCAATAACAGCGTGCATTGAGGTTCTCGTCTGGGCATTTGCGTGCTCTATTTTCTGAGCGCCGTTTTAATGGACTTGAGCAACTTTATTCTGTGTTAATGTAGCCCCATTAGTCAAATTCGCATGCTGTTATGCTGCGAGTTATGTTCTATTAAGCCTATAAATATTTTATAATGGGCAAGTAACCTGCTTTCATTGAATTTGAACTTAAAATAGCTATATCTGTTCTAATTGAAGTCCGATCCTGAAAAAATTTGCTTTGCTAATCGTGGAGGTCCTTGAAATTAATTGTGGTCCTTAATTTGTCAATCTGAAATGATAAAAACACATTTTAATTAAACAAGGCGAAAAATAAATGAAAGCATTTATTGTAAAGAAAAAGGACATAACTCGGACATATCCTTGCAGATTTTCAAAGGACTTAGTGCGTTAGGATCGTATAGACCCACTACATCGATCTGCATCCAAAAAATATGGGGTCATCTAAGAATCATGGGACTTGTATTTTCACTTGTAAAATTTCAGTCGCGGAGCGCATGGAAATGGACTGAAAATACATATCCTTGAATATCTCTCAAACTACAAGGACGATCCTGATGAAATTTGGCCAGGTGGTAGTCCTAGTTAATACAATTATTTTGACACACGACTCGCCAGGATACGCAAGGATACGGCCGAGTTAGGGCCTAATTTTTGTTTAGAAAATTGTTCTTAAAACTTTGTTGTCTGAAGGACTTTCGTCCTTTGGATTGTAATTTCTTTAATGGGAGGGTGAGAACTATCTGCTGGCAAAAGGACATCGCGGTAGTCCTTCAAATGGCAAAGTTAGCCCGGATATTTTCGATTTTGCGACTAACCCCCTATGATAAATTTTGGTGAAATTTTTTGCGGAATCCTTAAAATCCTTGAATGCCAATCGATAGTCTCGCTCCCCACGAGCTCAAAAAGGCATATGCTTCCGATATCCTTAAGGATTTAGCCGAGTTATGAACATTTAAAAAATGTCCTTTTTAAAAAATTGACAATATCTATGAAACGAGAAGGCGTATTTTGATGTTCTTTGGCCAGTTTGTGGTCCTTGTTCATACGGATTGTTTGACATAGGACTTGACAGGATCCGCAAGGATATGGTCGAGCTATAGCTTTGTTAGTTTCCGAAAGACTTGCACTTATATCAAAGCTGTCTGACGGTCCTTCGTCCTTTTCATTGTATATTCTGAATTGGGAGCATGAGATCTATCGGTTGGTCAAACGACATCACGATTCGCAAGGATACGGTCGATCTACAGCCTATTTTCTGTACAGACAAAGATCTCTTTTCTACTGTTCCTTGAGGAGCTTTTGTCCTTCTTATTACATATTCTAAGTTGGCAGGACATGTTGGCCAAAGGACATCAGGATTGTGCTCGAAATGGTCGATTAAAGGCCCATTTGGTTATTAATGTCCTTTATGATATATTATGATATAAATTATCGCAAGAACTATTTTGATATCCTTTGCACTGTTGCTGGTACCTCTAGTCTTTACTTAACCGAACTTTGGCTTATTTTATATCAGCACTTTCGTTTTTTTTGTTGTAGATTTAAAATTTACGGAAAAGGAAATATCTATTGTCCAAAGGATATACGACTGTTATTCGAAGTTGCCAAATTGTGGCCAATTTTGTGTTGAATGTCTTCTTATGGAAAAAAAACTGAATCTGAATCCCCAATAAAGTGGCCAAACTATAAACAATTTTCTAAGCGATATTAAGATGTCCTGTGACCAAATATACAGTTTTGAGAAATGCACGAATGCGACCGACATACAATAATGTCCTTTGACAAAACAATGAGACTCAGAGTAGACATACGTAGTGTGAATTCCAGCAGAGAGCCTGGCAGCAGCAGAGTCGTCCGCACATGAAACCCATGTAGTCCCAGTCCGTAGTCCAGAGTTTGCTTCAGGCAGCACAATATCATTGGATCTTTGGAAGACGTGCAACAAATGCGCTCAGACTAAGCAGCTCAAAAGCAACAGGGACATTCGAATTGGTAGAGCTGTTGTCCCGAAATCGTCTGAAATGATTGGATGGTATAATATGAACAGAAAGCCCTTAAGCTACTTCTCTTACCTCTTATCGCAGCGAGCAGTGAGGTTTTATAACGGGTCAGTCTACGTCAAATGTATATGCGATCCTGCCCTCCAGACATAGAAAAAAAGCAATATTGTTCATCCATTCTATATCCACGTAGCTGCTAAATCTGAAAAGAAATTCAAATTAGAAAATTATCACGACAATCAGTTAATATATATGAAAAGAAATATTTCATGAATATGTGTATATAAATATAGGGTTAGAATTTGTTAGCAAACTTTGTAAATCGGTATATATCCATTTTCGTTGCACAAAAGACATGTCTTGTTTTGAGCTACATATTTGCAGCCTGCTCTCGCAGTCATATACACATACACACGTATATATTTAGCGGTTCCCTTTGTATACTTATGCTTGTGTGTGTGTGTGGTTGCTTTTGCGTTATCTACCTTTGAATAGAGTTTACCGTTTGCTTGCTCAATTTGTTGTGTCCCGATTTTCGTCCACTTTGCGTCTGCGCAACATAATTGCGTATTAGTTAAATGCCAGCAGTCCAGAGAGGTATAAGTGAATATTCTCGGTTAAATACCGCCCGTATCTCAAATAGAATACGATTTTGGAGTTGTAGCCACATGAAATACATATAAAATTTCTTAAGAAAGATTTCGTAATTGCATAGCAAGGCAAATATTAAATGAGCTTAGGCAAGGGGGACAGCAACAACAATAAAGGGGAACAAAAACAACTGCGGAAACACGAGTGACTGACTGTTGGAGGATTCACTAGCATTTTGGTATGCTTTAGCGGTAAAGCTCACAAACCTAAACACACGAAGCAACGGATCAAATAAGCACTATTCCGTTAAATCAATTCCCGAACCGACGCGTTGCGCTTTGTGCTCTTGACTGCAGTGAGCGGCAGTGGCAGCAGCTTAACTAAGCCGATCGCAAGTACACCGAGCTGGAGACTTGACTTTGCTACGCTCACGCTCTCCCTCTCAAGCATACGCTCAGAGCGTGACGTCAGTCAGCCAATGAGGGTGTGCACTGCATATCACCTTCTCAGCATAGTCCATGCAATAATTGTCAGTGAGAGTAGCGCGTGTACAAAACGACAGCGAGAGAGTGCGTAAGTGAGAATGTGTTAACAGCATTGGCTGGCTGTGTGGTGCGCCATATAGTTTTGTTTTAATTTCATGTCTTTTTATTCTTCTTGGTTTCTTCACTTCGCACATGATACAGAGGTAACGTCAATCCCGCACGCACACACACACAAGCGCTTAAACATATGTCAAAGCTTTGGCGCACGTGCAATGCCAACTATCTAAAGCACAAAACCATAAACAGAAAGAAAAAACAATGAGGAGAGGGAATAATACCAAATTGCATGGCTGCCCTCATAATTATTCTGCTGTGTGTCTGCATGCGAGTGTGTGTGGGAGTATGGGCGCCACCGGCGTTGTGCTCTCCGCCAGCAACTTGTTGCGCCGCCCTAGAATGCCGTTGGTTTTTGCACACGACCGAGAGAACAGTCAGGATGGCCGAGTGGTCTAAGGCGCTGCGTTCAGGTCGCAGTCTACTCTGTAGGCGTGGGTTCGAATCCCACTTCTGACAAGAATGTTTTTATTTTAAAATATTGCTTAAAGCAGGATCTTCTATTCATAAAAACGTTTTAAATTTTTATTTTTCACATAAGCATATTTTAATAATAACAATATTTAAGGAAATCTGTGTAATTTGTGTAGAATATACGTTATTTGGGTATTGGTGTATTTATATCCATTGGCATGGCTACAGGATACAGCAGGATTGTAAAATGCAACCAGTCGCTTAAAACTGAGAATAAGTCAGTTCGAATGCCAATTTTTTGTTAATAGCACAATTTACGACAATATTATTTTGCGTAAAATGGGAATCTATAAAAAAGCCTCTACAATTAAATTTGTTTAACAGTCACAAGGCGTGAAACATTGAGGCTGGTCATAAAAATTGACATGCGACTGCTGCTTGGCAAAAACTGTTTAATCAATTTTAATTGACATCTTTCTGGTAAGAAAAATGTCGATGCGCTTGATTGGGTTTTAAATAGTAAATAAAACGTGCTTTCAGGATATTATAATTAACAGATTCTCGTAATATGGCAAGATATCGTGTGTATTTATCAGAGCAATTCTACATTGTAAATAGTCTCTTATTTGCCAGCCGGCGAGCAGCTTTTAAAAGCTCTGCGAGCCTTTTTATCGAAAATTGAGCATAGCTTTTATAGCAAACGAAGTACACATGATCTCGTACCACAATAAAAGCTCTACCTCGTAGGCCACCCTCGACATGACACTCTCAGAGAAAGCTGTTATGCCAACGCGCTCAGAAACCAAGCTTACGAACTCAACAACGAGCCCAATAGCTTTCAAAGAGCAACAAAAGCGCCAGACGACAGCTTTCAGTACGTTTTACATTATACTTGAAATGACGCAGGCGAAACTTTTGGCAGTCTTTGAGATACCATGACGTAGCTTGGACAGAACGTACACTCAATCAAGCAGAGCTAGCTGAAAGGCGAACTGAAACCGAGAAACTACGTTCGCAGCCAGAAAACACAATTGAAATAAACGCCTGCCGGCCGATTGGAAGCTTTTAAGAAGAATTCGAGAAAACGGAACATAAAGAGTACCGATAATTGCGCCAGGCGAAAAGCACGCCACGCTAACAACGTGTTGCGACTGTGGCGTGCAGGAAGGTTATTCAACTCAAGGCGTTAGCTTTCCGAAGAACACAAGGTACGTACAGCATAGATAACACAAAGTTACACTTAAGTTCTGTGTGATTTGACAATGAATATTGTGTGTGAGTGAGTGGAAAGGCAACTTGACCACTTCTGCAACATCAGCAGCATTGGAGGAAGGCGGCAGACAACTTTCGGCGGCGCGGGCAACGGCGTAAGCGCTGTTCTGTTAGAGCTTTCTATATGGCTGCTCAGTGGGCCAAAAAAGCTTTTGCTTATTTGAAAGAAAAAAGATGAAACTGCAGCAGCGTATTACTGCCGAAAGCTGCACGAGAGAGCGCAAAAGCTTTTAACTTTTATTTCGTTTCGTGTCGTCTTTCTCTTTCCACTCTGCTTTGTGCTTGATTATTAATGCCCAAGCTAAGTAGATGTGTAAATACACAGTCTACACATTGTAATCGGTACTTTTAAATTAATATTTTTAAGATTTCGTAACCCCTGTGAACCAACACAATGAGCACTCTACGCATTTGCAAGGCCATGTCCCTGCATCCCCGCGCAAACATACCGACTGCTGATTCAGAACAGGCAGCCAATGCCAGCTCGAGGATATGTCTAATGGGCTGCGAGGCGAGCCCAGCGGAGCTGCGACGCTTTCCAGTGCACGATACGAGTCGGTAAGTGCTTACGCCCAAATTTATTTGCTTCACTATCTTTTGCTGATCTACATTAAAAACCAGTTTATGGGCGGCTCAGGCTTGCATCAAAGCTTGTTGCGCATCAGAAATTCTCTTTAGCATAAGTGTGCATGTTTATATGTATGTGTGTATGTATGTCATGCAAGTATACAAAATAATATTCCAGACACACTTACCAATCTGAGAATGAGCTTTTCTGCTTAGGCATCGCTTAGCCGCCAAGTCAAAGGTTGATGAACTTTCTGCGCCCGCATCAACTTCATAGAAAAATTTCAATGCCATGGCAAAAACAACAAGTATGAATGTATGCGTCTCAGTTGCAATTATGCACATTGTGGGTGTGAGGGAAACAGCGACAACATAAGAAGCTGCGTCCCACACACACACACACACACACAAATAATATATAGGTACGCATAGAAATACATATTCCCCATCGGTTTATTTATAACTCTCTCGCTGTCGCTCTCTCGCTCTCTTGTAATGCGTACATGGCGCGCTCTGTTGGCCGTGAAGTTTTTGCTGCAAAAACAGTTGGAAATGTTGCCATCAGCTTGGAGTTTAGAGTGGATGTGAAATGTGAGATGGCAATCTGCAAGTAGTAAAAAGTACATGTACAACATATTTACATTAAAAGTAGTAAAGGGGCAAATATTATAAATTGTTATAGTTTAAACATAAACATTAGGTAGAGCAATTGAATACGAATAAATTAAAAAGTAAAGGCCCATCCCAATTGGTACACAACAAATCTTGTTATTCAAGAGAATACCAATATACGCATGCAACCCTGTGTGCCAAAAAAGCATGCAAGCCTCTATCCGAGCAAAAACTAAAGTCGATAGCCTACGATTACTGACTTCAATGACAATTTTACATTTTATTATTTATATTGATTTTAAATTAATATAATTGTCTTTTCCATTCAATTTATTTTTGCTTTGGCGGAAAAAAAATAGAAGTCAAATAAGTGGAAGTAGGTGCAGCCTTCCGCACTGCCAAAAATCTAGGCGCGACTATCCAACAATCAAATTATTCAAGTTTCCAGACAAGGATCCAGCCATTTTCAAGCAATGGGCTCAAATATGCAACTTCAGCGACGATTTTCTGGCAAAAGCATCTTCCCTTTTTCTGTGCCATTATCATTTTTCGCCGGATAAAATTGGAATACGATTTCTAAAACCGGGATCAATACCAGATCGCAATTTGTCCCCTGGTATTAATTGTACTACTGATGAAAATCCTTCAAATATTGTAAAATTTTCACCACGAAAAAGAAAGAAAGAAGCTGAACCTTGCCGCCAATGTCCCAAAAAGTCAACAATGCTTAAAATCTATAAAAACCAATATTTATTATTTAGAAATACAGCCGAGGTAAGAAAGCTAAGAATCTATGAACTAAAAAGGGAAAATAGAACTTTAAAACAAAAAATAATGCAATTAAGAGGCAACGAAATATTAGCTAAAATGAGTTTAAATCAAAAAGGAGCAAAACAATTTGATATAGAATGATTCAGATTAAATAGAGTTTACAGTTCTTAAGAGACTCAGTGTATCTTAATTTTGCTATATAGATGTTTATTTAGTTTTTCTGACTGTACATTAATTAAAAATGTAATGTATTTAGTTCCTAACAAGTATCCAGTATAAGAAAAATAAGTTTTTTATACCTAGATTTAAAAACAATAAAGAACAGCTTTCTTCGGCAAGCCAAAATGTAAATACCCTTGTAACAGCAAATTATACTATGCGAACGCTCAATTTTCTAACGATCGCCCTCGGGTGCAGATTCAGCTTTTTTTTAGCTAATTGTAGCTGTTTTTCAGTCGAAAGCAGTAACCATTCGTAGCTGATTAAACTATTTTTTGGCATTTTAAAGTCAGATACGAGAGCAAGACTTTAAAGCTAATTCAGCTATTTTTAGCTTTTTTCAACATTTAGCTACTCTTTCAAAACGGCAGTTGGCAGCTCTGCCTACCATTTACATTGTCTTTGTGTTGTTCTTGCCTGCGGGGTGGGCGGCGGTGGCGGTTGCGGCGATGGCAAGTAGAAGCAGCAGTTGAACGCCGGCACAAGACGCACAACAAACTTCCGCTCCCCGAGAGCGAGAGCGCGGCGAAAGCACCACACATGCAAAAAATGTATGTATGTATGTATATACACAGGCACACATACATACACAGGCGCACAAAGAGTAACAGTGCAATGAGCATAAAAAGCGCTTTTTCAGCGACAACTTTTGGCAGCCATGGCAGAACTTTTCATTAGCTTGTGCAAACTTCACGTGTGTGTGCGTGCGAGAGAGCGAGATGGGATCTAATTTTAAAGCTGCACAGGAAAAGCACCGCCAAAAGAACGAAACTTCAATGCAGTTCTTTACAGTAAACAAAGAACTTCCGAGGCGATCGCAACGCTTGAGCAGCGCTTAAGTATCGTATTGCGGGTAAATTCCATAGAAAAAAAGTTTGCTATACAAAAACAAAACAAAAAAAAAAGTTAGTTAAGTGTCGAAAGCTTTCGCATTCAGAACTTTTGCAATTGGTGCACAAATTGCGTTGTTGACCCAAGCTGAGCTTGCATTTTGACTAAAGAGAGAATCATGCTGCCAGCATAACCACTAACACAAACACAAACACAACACACGCACACACACACACACACACACACACACACACATACAGGCATACACACATGCAAACAACTTGCAACTTGCCCATTGCGAGCGTGCACTGAACGAACAATCAACAATTGTAATTCCTGCAGCTGCAACTATTGGCTGAGGCACTTTGGAGTGAGCGACCAACTGGTGGAGGAACTTGGCGGACTGAAAAAGCTGCGCATCTGCTTCAGGCACTTCAGCCAGCGCAAGGCAATGGCCAAGACGCGCATCAAGACGACGCCGCTGCGTATATCCAAGCCAAGCAAAATAACAACAGAAGCGATAACAACAACAACAACAGAAGCAATAACAGCAGCAGTAACAGCAGCAACAACAGGGACAGCATCTGCTAAGCCCATGGCAGACAGCACAACAATTGAGCTGGTCGATGTGAGTGCATTTGTCGCATGTTTAACCAACAATCGTTAACGATACATATTTGTTTTTTTTTTTCTGTAGAGCTCCAGTGGGAACGGGCATGCACTGAAGCAGGGCACGCAGGAGCAGTCGGTGACCACGATAACACCCGTACCGCAGCGCTCCCACTCGATATGCTCATCCTCGTCCGTCTCCAGCGATGTGCAGTCCATCAGCTCCGACTATGAGGCCAGCATGCCGCTGTCCGCTTTGGTGAATGCACACGCCCAGCACGGCACAGGCAAAGCAACGAATGGGCTGGCCAAGAAGCGCAAGCTGTATTTGATAACGGAGAAGGCGGATGAAAAGAATGGCAGCAACCTGGCCAGCGGGCAGAAGCGTAAAATGTTTGTGGTCGTGGAGCAGGAGAAGGATACGGCTGCCAAGAAACTAATGATTGTTACGGACAAACCACAAGCGAATCTCACACAGCATTTGGAGAAATTCCTGCCGGAGATTCTCAGCTGCATACAGGGCAAGGAGCAGCAGGCACAGGCGAAGGTCAAGCACCCCCTGACCAAGCATCAGGCGGTCAAGCAGGAGCCGCTTCCAGTGAAACCAGTGCTTCCAACCATTCAGAAGCCGCACATAACGCTTCCGCCCAAAAAGAATCCCACGAACTTTGTCAAGCTGGAAGGCTCGCCCGGCATTACATTGCCTGCCAGCGTGTCCATTGTGCCCGTGGAGCCAGTCAAGGAGTCGCCGCCGCCGCCGGAGACGGAGACCAACATAAATCTGTCGCCCGACTTTCGGTTTCTCATGAAGATATTGCCCAAACTGGAGCAGCTGCCCGAACCGCACAAACAGCACGTCAAGCGTTCCATACAGATCTTTGTGGAGGAGAGCTACAGCCATTACGGCAAGAAGGAGTAGCACGTGGCACAGCTAGCACAAGTTATCTTTTATCATTTTAGAGTTTCCTTATAAGTTACCCCGAGGGCAATTTTATAAAACAATTTTATATATTTGTTGTCGAAGACTGATGCAAAACGTAACATACATACATATATATATTTTTAATGCACCGCCGCGCTGGTGCAGACCCTAAATTATTAAGATGCAAATTTTTAAGAGCCCGCTCGAATGAGACCGGGTGTACAATTTATATTTGTAGCCATAAAGAAAAAAAAAACTTGAATTCTCATAAAAGGAAAACATAGTTTAAGCACTGAATATATGAGAGCTTTTAAGCCAAGAACTGAATTTGTTATTTCTACTTTCTTAAAATAATTTATCTATTTTTAAGCAGTCTTCACATGCTGTGGCGCCATCTGTTTACAACTAGCAACACTATGCTACTACTACACTGCTTTATACGCAAGCAGTGCCTGTTATTTGTATACAAAAAGTTGCTAACAGCTGTTGCTTACACCCCGCTGTTAATAACATTGTAATACTCGCACACGCAAGCAGTGCTCTAACGTGCCCCCGAATTTGATTTGGCACTCTTAGATTTTATATATTCTATATTGAAATATTTATGTAGAATATGTACTTACCAAGATTTTAATACATTTCCATTAAGAGACGGAGGAAAACAGCCGTACGCATATTCCTAAAAAATAAAAGAAGTAGGCTTAGAGTGCGACAAGGAAAAAAAACGGGTTTCGTTTCTATTCAAGATCGGACTTCATTAAGCTGAGTTATGGTCATTACATTTTATAAAAAAAAACTTGTAATTGGAACATCTCCAGGACTTGAAGTACGATTTTCAAAAGGGATACATTTCGAGAGCCATCCAAAAATTCTAACTTTTATTCTAACTTTTTAACGAGATTCGAGTTCTTGGAAATTTGTAAAATTGAAATCTATCGAGTAATTTAAGTGCGATTATCGATTGGAATACCTCTTATTAAACTCGCCAGAGCCAGGACCATCAATTGTAATTCCAGTATTTCAATTCTTAGTTTTGACCAAAATCGACAAAAATGGCAAGGAGTGACACATCAGAATTGGGTCGAAAATCGTATCGTTTCTGAAATCAAGAATTTGTTATTCCAATCTATTCTATAGATTCTCGCGTGTACAGAAAGGCGAATCTCACCCAAATCGGACTTCATTTAGCCGAGATATGAACATATACAGTTTTTGAAAAATATTAAAATGGAAATATCTCGGGTATTATAAGTCCGATTTTCGAGTGGCATGCCTCATTTAACTCGAACGGACCAGGACTATCGAAAACACAAAACAAAACGACAACAAAAAAATTTGTAATTCCGAGTTTTGAACAAAATCAGCAAATCTAAAGAGTCTTACGAGTGCAGAAAGGCAAGCTCGAATTTCTTTTAGCCAAGCCTTAACGATTTAAATGCTTAAACAAACTTAATTAAATTAAAATATTAACATTTCATTATAAATATTTAGACAACTTGCTAAAAAGTGTTTCCATTAAGAAAGAAAAATTGAAAGCTTCGTTTTCGTATTTTTTGTTTTGCATTGTAATTCCAGAGAACTTTATTTAGTTTGAAAGCAATTTTTACTGTTTTTCTTGGTTGTTTTTTTGTTTTGGATTTTTGTTATTTTCGTTATTTGTTTTCAGTTGTACGTTATAATATTAGTAAGTCTAGTGGGGTGAGGGTCCGGGGGGGTGTTAAGTGTGTATTATGGAATTATGTTAAGTATGTTATTCTTGAAGAGTATTTGCTCGCCTTTAATATGCTAATGTACAATTGTGGCTGCGTCTGGCGCATAACTATACGACGAATTTAGTTAGTGTATTTAATGGTTATGCTTGCTTGAATAGTTATCATAATTACATATATACAGGTGTTAAACAATGCTTGCTTAAATCTAACGATCAGTTTGATCCTATCGAATCCGAAAGTTTTAAGGACATTTTGCTCTAACGCGTGCAATATTTCTTTTTGTTTTTCGACGAGAGCTGCTCTACTAGATATATTATTTTCTTTTTTGCCTCCCAAAATGTGCATTTTCACATATACATTTATAGAGTTGTGTGTTATATATATATATATATATATATATATTCATTTTTACAACATTTATCGAATTTCCCATATAGTTTATCGTTAGAATAATGAATAAGCCTGACTGTAAATATTGTTTATGCCATTGTTAACTACTCGTACATTGTTTTGTGTCCTACATAATTATCGGGAAGTTATTTTCTTTGTTTTTTAGGTAAATGGGGAGGGGGAGGGGGTAGCTGTTTCTCTATAGGTAAATATAAAGTACGACGGGTAGATTTGTTAGTTGCTCGTGTGCTTTTTACATGTTGCTACTTATTTTTGGGCTATGCATAGGAAAAGTTACACACACATGCGACATTCGGCATGCGACATGCGGTATTCGACATGCGGCATGCGACATGCGACACTTGACTCGAATGTCATCTTTGAGAAGCAATCACAAAGTTTTCTCTCTTTATATATAAGTATATATTATTTATATGCCACACCACCATGGATATTATATCGTTTAATTGTAATTTCTGCATTTCATTTATTTACACAATTTTCATTTTCTGCGCAGTTTCCATCCTGGAACCCGCTACAAATTGGGGGCTAAGCAACTACGAGTACATTCATAATCCGAATCTTTAAATGGAATGGGGGTAGGGGGTTGGCTAAGTTTTAGGCATGTTTTCTACTCACATTTACATCAAAAATTTGTTAATGCATCGAATATTTTATATATATATATATTTTTTTTTGGGTTAAAAAACTGTGTCACAATTTCTACAAACAGCCTTTTGTTAAACATGTTAAACGTACATTTATGTATTTTGTATGCAATAATTAATTAGTTATTTTTGCGTTTTTTTTTTTTTGTGTTTAAGTGTTTTACATTTTATAAACTTTTCTTTACATGTTTTTTTTTTTCATTTGTTTTTCTTTCTTTATAACCTGAGCGCAATTTTTTTTTTCTGTTAAGAAAACATTATCATTTTATTTTCGTTAATGCTTGCCAAAAAGTTGTTAATTTAATTTTTATTTTCATTTTGTTTACTTACTGGCACAAATATTCTTGTTGTTCATAAATTTGGAGTTTTGCATTTGTATTAGCTATGAGAGATATTTAACAGCAGCCTCACGAACCGCTCAAAAATGCTTTATAATAAATTGGTTTCTGCAAAGTTTCCCTTCTTTACGCTAAAAGGAAATGTAGCAAAAAATGTTAATTAATAGTTACCTGTACTTGAATATATCTGACGAGTGTTGAAAGTGTTTTCTTTTCAGTTAATCTTGCATATATTGTCCATACATACACATGGTATATTTGTATATATATATATGTATCGCATATAGTGCTAGGTTTGGTTTATTCTTGCGAAAAAAAATGCATACACGTATTTATAGCTATAAATTCTAATTGCAAATGCATTGGGTTTGCGATCTACTAGACGGTACGGCACAGGTGTGCCACAAGGTAAGTTGAAAAAGTAAATCAAGTAATAAAACAAAAAGAGTTGCTACGTTTCTTTTTTTTTTTTGTATACAAACAGGTTTACACAATTTTCTTTATTTCACTCTGCAGCCATTATGAGAAAAAAAACGTAGTCTCGTATATTACTGTAGTTTATACGTAGGTTCTACTGTATATAATTAGCACATATAACTATTTAGTACTGCTCCACAATTGGCTTTAGATCGAATACTAATGCAGTTGCTTTTAGTATTTACTTAACTTAACTAACAATTACACATATGCTTTGCTCTCTTATTGAAACATAAGCGCCGCAAAATTTATAGACAAATTGGCTCAAACACACATTTAACCTTATGAATCCATTATAGTTACGTTTATATTTCGATTTTGTAAAGGATTTATGTTCTTCTTCTTCTTCTTCTTCTTCTTCTTCTTTTGATAGCAATTGAAAGTTGTGCAAAAATGTACATGTCCATCAGGATTCAGAATAGAATCTGATCTATTTTATATATATATGTGTATAGTCATATTTGTTGCTGCTTTAGCTAAAACAAAACTAGTTACGGCTTACAAATTACTTGGATTAGCACATATATACATATACGTATGTATGTATGTATAAGTATTGGTGGGGTGTTAATGTTATGTACATGGTGCTTACATAAAGTCAAAACGAAATTTATGAATTACATCAAATATGCTTCTATGCATGTGTAAGTGTGTGCATGCATGCATGCTTGCTTGCATGTATGTGTGTGCATGCATGCATGCATGTATGTATGTAAAATGTGCTTAGTATCTAATTTATAATGATAATTTTGCATTGTATTCGTTTTTCTTTATTTATATTATTATAGTTACAGATTACAATTAATAAACTAAAAGTATATATTTATATTCAATGTGTCTGTGTCTGTGTATGTTGTGTGTGTGTGTTTTAGCCTTAGCATTCGAGTGTCTGTGTGTGTGTGTTTGTGTGACCAAAGACTGTAGTCTATATATATATATATATATATATATATGTATATGTATATATAAGAAAAAATGGTTATTTATAAACAAAAGTAGCGGCTATGTGGGAAAATAGAAAAGGAAAATCGTCTGTTTGTGGGGCGAACCGTTACATTTGTAGTTTTCACCAACGATTTCCTTTTCGCTTTTCATCATGTGTTTTGTTTTTCGTTTTGAGATCTCCGTGAAAGTTTGAATTCATATTTGTTTTCCATCCATTCTTTAATGTCGTCTTTAAGCGTACGCTAAATTAACGCATATATATATATATATAAATTGATTATATATGTGTGTGTATATAGAAATATATATATATTTATATATATGTGAGTGTGATTAAAAACTACATACATAAGAAAGCAGCACAGTTAAGAGTCGAAGTAATTGGGCGCCTACAATTTCGAGAATTTTAACGTTTTATCGAAAAGACTTTTGAAATATTACGAATACACAACTACACACATGCATTGGATATATGTATATATATGTATGTATATATAAATATTATTCATATATAGTTGGCTACATTTAAATACAATAATTCAAGCGTTCAAAATTTTGCAATTCTTCAAACATTTGGCTTTCTACATTGCGCGTGCTATCCTAAAACATTTCTGACATTTATATATATTGCATATAGGCGCGCTTGTCAACCATCTCTTTTGTAAGGAAATGAGAGAACTCAGTCTTAAACATACATTCAGTTAAATATATATATATATATATGTGGGGTCTAGAGATACTAATAGATCTATGCAGAACTGGCGTTCCTTTAGCTATAGCATTTAGTTGGCATGAGCATTTGTTGCTACTTAAAAAGAATACAAAAATTGTGTTGAAAATGGACTTTAGAGAGGGTACATGGGGTTGGCGGGGAGAGGGGAGTATGGGCTTAAAGAAGGAAATTAAACTATATTACAGTTAAACTAATTAAGAATATAAACTAACTTGAATTAGCAAGACGTTCAAATCGCGTTGCTAGACAGCCAGGCACACACATACACACACACACAAACACACACAGAGTGAGAGAGAGACGAAGAGAGAGAGTCTGGCTACATGTAGTGGTTCGCCTTATCGAGTGCTGCCTGTCGTACTGTGGCATGTGCTGTGTTTGTGTTTGTGTTTGTGCTGTTGCTGCTGCTGCAACTTCTGAGCGCCTGTGCACATTCACTGGGGGGCAGTGTGTCGTCCACTTGTTGGTTTTGCTTTTAACTAACATTTGCAAACTACATAGTATATACATACATATACATATACATATACATACATATACATATACATACATAGTTGAAATGCGTGCGCTACAAACTAAACATGATTTGCCTGCTGCAGCAAAACGTATTAATAATTAGCATAAAATTACAAATAATCATAAATTGTGTTTAACTAAGCATTAGCATTAGAATTAATACAAAAACTTAAATTGTTTATTTGCATAATTGTTTGAGTTATGCAATTGAATCAGTCCACTGTTAAAATATATATATATTTTTTAATTGTTTTTTTTTTTTTTTTTCTTTTTTCTCAACTAATTTCGAAAGTTTTGCGTGCTTTTTTGCTTGTTTTTTTGTTTGTTGTTGTTGTATTTTTCCTATATGACATACAGACACACAGATGTACATAAACAAACACACATTTAATTTATAAATACACACACACATATATATATA